CCAAAGTCCTTTGTAGACCTACATCTTTTGACCCAGTTTTCTGTTTCATGGCCTCACTACCAATAAATATTTTTACAAGCAAGTGTATTGCTTAATATCTGTAATTTAAGAATGATGGGCTCAATCAGTCAGAAATTAGGTTCAATCTTATGTACAGTGAGTCTGGAACTGACACTGTGTCCAATGGTTATTCTGTGCAGCATCTGTTGCATACTAGGCTCTTGATTCAGATCCCTCTGAGTCAGTGGGATTATTTTCTGTGTCCTCCTTAGATTGAGTTATAGATTAATCTGTGATATATCGTTGCAAATATGTATTAGAAATAGAAAGAGATGTTTGTAAATATTTAATGGATTATGCACCCATTCTAATATTGACAACTTATTTGAAAGACAGTAGAAAAGTCATTATATTGTGAACAGGTTGGCAAACAAAAGTTATGCAAATCCTCTGCTTCAAGTAAGTTTGTGCCACAAGTTACTCAAGAGTTTTGTTCTGACTGTGTCAGACACTACTATAGAGCCCTTGGCTGAAAAAGGAGACTAAACGCAGTCTCTTAGTAGAAGTCAAAATGATTACTGATGTTAATTGAAACCGTATAATGTTACTTAGATAAGACATTCTGGAGCACAAATACAGTGGTTTTGCTAACAAAGTCACATAGTCAACAAGGTCACCTAGAGTCAGAAGCTCAGGTTCATTCTGTCCTGAGTGTGCTGTTACAAATCTTATAGAAATACTCCACACCTCTGTTGCCAAGGGGAGCAGTAACCAACTACAGTGATGAATACTTGTTTTTACAAATGTTTTCAATCATAAATTTAATCATAGGTGCTTGGATTTAAATCAAAGTATCCTCAAATAAATCACACAGTAGAAAGGACTACATCTTAATTACTTCATTAATAGCTGGTTCACCTTTTCAGCCATCTCCAGGAACCTACGCAGGCAGTGGAAGGGCACCTATACACTTAAGCAGGCTTTGAGACAGGCCCTAAAATATAAACAGACATACAAAATGTACTCTATATGTAAGCTTATCTTTTACTAACAAAAAACATAAATGCTACTTTGGGGTAAATTGCAATGTTTAAAAACGATTTTCAAAAATATAGGTTTTATTAAGAAAGCAGGAGCCTAAAAGAAAATAAGAATTAACATAAGAATGTCATTAGGGTCAGGGTTTGGCAGTCCCTCCCCATAATTTGTTGTTATTCAATATCCCAATGATTATTAAATTAATCTGTTATTTAAACAGCAATCAAAAACAAGTCAACCCACATTTTCTAAGCACTGTCAACAAGACAGAAAAACTAGGATTTTTTTTTTGATAAATCTGAAGTGCTTTCATATTTTCCAGTAAGCTCTTCCCTTTTATAGCAAAAAACCTAAAAAACCTAAACCCCATTACTTCTGAAAACTCATATGATAGACTGGTGATTGTTCTATCACAGGTTCCATGTTGGAAATAATTAATTGCTAAAGAAAAGTATTTTTTCTTTATCAGTGTCAACTGGCACTCTTTCTGTGGAGTCAGAACTACACTAAAAGCAAATATACTCGTTATGGGCTGTAAAGGTGGTGTGCTGCTCAGGGTTGTGTTTTTGATTGGGCATTAAATTTGAAGTCTTTGGCTAAATAAACATCACAGTACTGCTTGCAGTTTTATGAGGTATTGCCCCAATATGTTAGCCAATTTTAAATAGAAGAGTGTCAACCAAAGTTCTTCAGCAATGCTCACTGGTTACATTACCACCTTTTGCCTTTATGTGATCTCATCATTGTGAAGTTTAATTGCATTAAAAATGTCTGAGGAAAGCATCCTTAGAAAGACCAAGTTGTTGTTATAAATTTTATGAAAGGATGATGGCTGTTCTGATATTTGACTAGAGAAAATTACCTGATCTTTTGAGCATACACTCATCTGTTTGTAGAACAAACCAAAAAGGTTTTCTCTAATTGCAAATCTTATTTATGTATGAAAATTCAAATGTTTTCATTAAGCTTCATTTCGGAAAATGTCATTAATTTTAGCATGAACTCAGGCTGCTCTGAATGTGAGAGTAGGTCTTCTGCAGGCACAGGAACTTACTCATCTGACTATATTTTAAGTATATATGCTAAAATTTCAAAGTTGCAATGAACCTGTTGGGTGCCTAGTTGCCAAATTTCTGTGTTCACTGTAAAATCTATGGGTATACAGATCAGGCAGCAGTTGCACAGCCAAATGCTTAAAAATATGCCCTTTTAACCTCTCCTGTTCATGTGTGATGACATATTGGACTTGGATGAAGATCAAAAATC